AGTACTCGACAATGCTACTCGTCTCTGGCTTTTCTTGTCAATTTTTCGAGTTTCGTGATCGCGGTCGCGATTTGCTTTCGAAACGAACGTTGCGCTCGAGATTCTGCACATGTATGAACAATGGTCATTACGATCATTAGTCGTCCATGTGTTAGTTTCCGCGATTTAGTCTTTTTTTTTTTATTTCTTTTTTTGTTCACGATTAGCGAATCTCGAGCCTAGATTTAAGTTTCAGCGGGCATTGCGCCCGAAGGAGGAAGACCGAAGAGGCCTCGACAAACTGTCACGAAGAGGGGCTGCACCGAATGGCTCCTCATTTTTTGGATTTTCTTTGGGTCCAAAGAATGGGAAGTCATTGTTACTATTTTGTCACTGTGCTCGTTTTAGTAATACGTAGTATTTGTTGTTGTGTTGTCTGGCCGATTGCATGCCGGCCCATCGGATCCAGTCATTATGGGCATCGCGATTTTTTTATTAGTGTTGCGATAAAATAATGATCGCGTTTCTTATAGTGTTGCGTTGTGAAAAATATCGCGATTGCTTTAATTATTTTAATTACGAACTAGCCTATTTTTTTATTTTTTTTTATTTAAACTTGCATTTCTATAGCGGTTTATAGTATCAGAATATTTGAAGTAGCTTTTCATTTATAGAAAATAAAAATAATGAATTTTAAAAAGTAGTGTTGCGTTAACAAATGATCGCGTTGTTTAAAATAATATTCCGTATTTACGAATTGCCCATATTTCTTCCACTTCAATTGTGGAAATGTGCTGTTCCTGAATTACCTATTGCAGTTAAGAAACTGCAGAAGGGTGGTTACAATGGCAGTCTCTGGATATGACTGCAATCTTCCGCTATTAGTGTTGCGTATAAAAAAACAGGAGTGCATAAATTAGTTTAATAGAGTTTCGTAAATTAAAATATTTTACTGATGATAAATCCGCGAATTTTTTATTTTTCTATTTTTATTTTTTTTTTTTTTGGATTATGAATTGTGTTGCAAATATAATGAAGCACTCTTCGCGTTTTCTTTGAAAATTTTAGTATAGTAGTGTTGCGAGATATAAAATATGTTCCACTCACGGTTTGTTCGGATTTATATTGAGTGGATATCTATTTTGGTAATCCTTCTGGTTACCTTTTCGTCACTTTTCTTTTCAGCTCCCTTCCATTAAGAGCATTTCTTTATCCCTTGCTCATTTAATACAACTTTTCTTTCAGAAAATTGTGACCGCGGGCAATGCGGTCAATAGAATCAGTGTTCGTTTCGTAATAGTATTTTAAATATTTTTTTAGAACACAGCTGTTCTA